GCAACCGCGCGTTCATCGGTCTACCCGCTTGTACGTCTGCTCGTTTTCTCGCGAAGGGCTTTGGTTAATAAAAATCGTGTTTTTATGTCGTCAGGTCGCAGCTCAGAATATTGCGAGACGGCAGAAGGATTTGCGATGAATATCGTCCTAGGGGGAGCCTGGCTGAACTGCTTCCCAGGCTCTCTCAAGCCGTAAGCCTCATGAGCTACATCGCAAACGTGCCCTTACCGCGCAATAGAGTCGCAGCATTCTTGCTCAACATGGCCACTGGGTACCATCGTAGAATGCTTCAGCACCTAGGGCCTGTCGTTGAGGACAGGAAGAGACAACTCGCGAACCATGGCAAAGACTATGCCGAGAAACCGGTTAGTACGATCCTTCCTTACTCGCAGAATATCGCAGCTAAAGCCCTCGCTATTGCGGACAGACATGCTTTCTTGGCTAATAGACAGCGCGCCACGCGATCATCAGCTCTCCACAGAGAACCTGGTCCTGAGAGTGCCCACTGTTAACTTCCTTGCTATTCACACCACGTCGCAAGTAAGTCTTCCAGTAATTAACTGGTGTCAGAAACTGAACGAGACATGCTAGTCTTTCGTTCATGCGTTGTACAATTTGGCTCCGGGATCGGAATACGTTGGCCCACTTCGCGAAGAGGTCCAAGAGTGTCTTTGGAAGGACGTCACCTTGTGGACAGAGGAGGCTTTGAATCATTGCTGGAAACTGGACAGCTTCTTGAAAGAGAGCCAGCGGACAAACGGCTTAGGAGCATGTAAGCAGCGCCGCTAGCGTCACCTGCCGGGACTCGAGCTCACGAACCTTTCTTTCAGTGTGTCTCCCGAGGAAGACCATGAAACCTCACTTCTTCCGCGACGGGACCTGGCTTCCGAAGGGTGCTATTCTTGGGGCATCGCAGACCGCCTCTCATTCGGCTCCCGAAAATATCACAGACGCCAGTACCTTCGACGGCTTTCGGTTCTACCGCGCAAGGGGGCGGGTGGCGCAGAAGGACAAGATAAGGTACACGTCCGAGTACTTCAAAGAGCAACGATCAGAAGACTGGAAGCATGGCTTTACGGGCACGAGCTTGCAATATCTAACGTTCGGTGGAGGGAGACATATCTGGTAGGCGCATTCTCGCTACTTTTCGTAGTGATGGGCTAGGCTGACTCCATAACAGCCCAGGATGCTTCTTCACTACATTGGAGCTGAAGTGCATGGTGGCGTATGTGCTTCTGAATTACGACGTGAGGATGGCCGACACGGGTGCCAGGCCTGCGGACGTCTGGCAAGGGTCTGTGTCTAAGCCGTCGAGAAATGCGAAGGTAGACTTCAGAAAGCGTACATGATAAGTCTTAGTAACTGCCTGGTATGTTCATGGTGCTGTGAATGAACCTTATCTTGTATCTTCGTTCTTATCCTTTGTCACCTTTGTAAATAAATCGAGTACGTGGCCAGAGCACATAGCTTCACTTCATCCTTGCGGCGATAAGCGTTCTTCGGAGTCAGCGTTGAGGAAGAAAGTCAGATGTAGTCTACCGTAAGGAAGTCGGTAACTTACAGGTGACCTGCAGGCAACCGTATGATGTTGACGCGGACGCATACATGTGGCGCGTTCACTCTTCCATGTCGCGAAAACACGTCATACGGGGACAGACGTACTTGTGTCTACATCTATTCTTCGCAGAGCGCCAAGAAATTCACAAATACATGTTTCTTGTCCACAGCAGTAGCTTTAATATTATGGTAGCATCTGAGCAGCACAATTGCGACGGCTTCCGTTTTGCAGCAGTCCATGTACTCACGATACGATCCTTCTCTGCCTGTGTGGGTGCCGCGTTCAAGGGAACATACCTCGCTCATACTTACGCGCTTCGCCGTCTCGTATTTCTCGTTGCTGACCATCCCCTCGCCGGACGGCGATACACTGAGATATTGCAAGAGCTCGTCGCACATTAACAGCTCTCGCGCATACTCTACCGCCTACGCTTCGATCCGCTCAGCCTCTGCGTCGGAGATGCGGACCGAGAACGGCTCGAAATCTGAGATCAAGGCAGCGTGGGCCCCATGAACTTGGGTTCCGGTCTGGTGTTGACTGTGGCGCGAGTACAGCCAGTAAGAGCGGGCATGTGCGAATGTACAATCCATTACAGCGAAGTTTGAATACGAAATAAATATAAAGCGAGCTCAAGCATCTACATAGTCTTCTTCTGTTTCCGCATCCGTTGTAGCCTCTGTAGCGACGGTCGCTGTGGACGTTGATTCTGCGGAACAGTCAGCTCCATAGGATCATTAAAGAGAGAAAACAGCAAGGCATACCACTAATGGGCAGTGGCGGGTGTTGCTTTTCCGCGGCTTGCTCACGCGCGACGGCATCCTTCCAACCCTCCTCGAATAGCTCTGGGTGCTCAATCGGATCTGGTATGGCACTCGCGAGTTTTGCGCGTCCTTTCACGGTGAGCTCATCCTTCCATGCTTGCACAGCCTCTGGAACTTTGCTTGGCACGTACGTGCGCGCAAACATTGCCGCCTCGGGGGCGCGCTGCGTCTTCACGAGCAGATCGACACACGCCGCGGGAGCGCCGAGCTGCAGAAGCGCCGCGAACGCGAGGTTATTTTGGCCTTTCTCCTCCGCATTGCGCGCGAGCTTCTCCAGGCCATCGCGGTCGCCTATCGACAGGAGCAGGAGCATCAGCGAGCCGAGGTCGCCTGCCTTCTCGAAGCTCTCTCGCGCGAGGTCGAAGCGCCATACTGCGAGCGCGCGATCACCAATCGCCTTCCACTTCGTCTCGGCCTCGAGCTCAGGCACGGTTCGTGCAATTTCAACTGCGGCGTCAAGATCGTCCAGCTGTAGAGAGAGGTCGAATTTATGGTCGGGATCGGTCGTGACTTGGAGAGCAAGCTCCTTCAATCCTGATACCAGGCATTAGCACTAGCGAATCTGTCGACAAGTAGCGACTTACCTCGGCCTTCGAGGAAGGTCGCTACCTTCGCCCGCTGCTCTTTCGGAATGCTCGGCAGAATCTCATCTGCTGCATCCATGTCTCCTCGGAGGACAGCAGTCTGGTATTCAACCAGGCTCAGCGACAAGGCATAACTGAAGATATTAACGTCCTTGTCTCCCAGATATACCCGACTGTGGGCAGGGATGTAACCGAGAAGGTATAATGGTCTGGCAGGGTGGCAGGTGAGCTACGAATCAGAATCCTGCCAAGGGCCGGACTCACTGATCGAAAGGCGTAATGGTGTACGACTCGCTACCAACGAAGTAGTTAAGGCGATTTGAGGCCGTGGTATAGATGAAGCAGTCGCCGACCCAGTTGGCGGTCTTGGCACTAAATGTGGGCATCACCTGTTAACCACGTAAAACGCGGAAGGGAAAAATAGACCGACCCTTCTGGTATCTCTGCCACCAGGTCGAATGCCTCTTCGACACCCTCGTCGAGGATCTCCGCGCCCGATTCGAGCTTTGCGTTGTATGCGTCGCGGTCAAACCGCAGGACGTAGTAGGAGTCTTCACCACAGACGGCAACAAGTTCGCCTGTCCCAGACCAGAAGATCTAGATCGGATACGCATCAGACGACGGAGGCGGAAAGGAACCATGGCAGGCTCACGTTCTTGGCGTCGACGTCTATCCTCCGAACGACGTTACCAGTCTCCCAATCCCAGAAGACCACGAAACCTGATCCGCGCGCACCCAGGAGAGCACCGCCGTGCACGCCCTCAAGAGCCCACGAGCCCGCACCTTTCATAGGTGCGGTTGTCCGCTCGCGGAAGTTCTTGTATACGCGCACCTTCGTGCGACCCTCAAGCACAGCGTAAGTGTTCGAGTCGTCGGCCCATGCGAACGAGCTGCCGTTGCCGAACGCCTTGTTGCGCCACGCGAGCGCGGTATACACGATGTATTCGCCATCGCCGACGACGGTCACGAAGCGTCCGTTGGGCGAGTGCGTAATCGACGTCGGGAAGACCTCGGTCGTGCCCAGTTCCTTGATAGCGAGCGGTATCCGGTTCCCATCCGCGATAGCGACGTCCTGTATCGTTTGCAGGTTGCCAGAGAGCACAGCGTTGTTCCGCGTGTAGATCAGCTTGCCAGAGGGGTCCATGCTATACGAGGGTTCTTCGCGGCCGAGCTAAGAGATCTGAGTCCGACAATGCACGGTGTAAAGCAAGGGGCCTACCTTGACCACCACGACACCCTCGTCGTAACCGA